TTTTCACCATCGATGCTCGTTCATCGCCTATTATCCTTTTCAGAGGCGAAGAGCCAGTCCACCGCAAGTTGCAGTGGGCTTTGCAAACTTGGATGGAGGTCTTGTTGGGCCTGCAAGGCAACACATTGCAGGCCCATCTGCGTCGCTGCCAGTCTCTTTCAGAGCCCAGCTAGCTAGAACTAGAAGGTGAAGTGAACCCGGGAAAAAGCAGCGAGCGATTTTACTTGGCGGTCACGACTAATCCGAGAGCAGATAGTGGCCGGCCGGCGGCGGATACGCGTTACTTTCCGGGAGTTAAACGGCTGCAAGTACCCTGCCCTGCCCTGGATTAAAAGGCGGATAGCATCACCGTCGCCGTCGCCGTCGCCGTCACCGATCACACCCCACGCAGCGCGGCGCGCACCCTCCTGACGGTTCATCGCTTTCTCCGTCCGCCCGGTACATGCCTGTCGATGAACAGGTATGGTCCTTTCCGTCCCATTTGTGTAGTGGGCAAAGTCATGCATCGCTGTAGTTCTCTTCATCAGTGCATAATAGATGCATTACAATCTGATTTATGTGCCATTTACGTGTGGTGCGGTGTCAACTACTACAGAGTTTCTTCCGACCGATGAGGACCAGATCAGATATGTGTCCAAGCAGCAACAATCTAGAGATGGATCGACGAATCGATGCAAATCACTGACTGCAGCTCCAGACACTTCAACTTGGAAGGAAGACAGCGTGCCGACCTTGATCTTTCGCCGATTATTCTACGCGCCGCGGAGGCATAGGAGAGGCGTCTACACGGGCCGATCAATCCAGCTACTAGAAACAAAGCACGGAACACAACAAGACGCACGCACAGATGATCGCTGTCCATCCTCATGACGTCAAGGGATATAGCAGTGGTCAGAAAGAGTTGGCTGGGCCAAAACAATACTACTCCTACAAAGAAACCAAATGAAAATTGCAGAGAGAGATATTATAGAAAAAATCGAGCACCCGAAAGCCTAGCACTAGCAAACACTATAAAAAAATCGAGCAGAAAAAGACAGAGGAGATAGTAGTAGATAGATGCAGCACCACCATGCCTGAGGTCTGAGGATGGAGGAGTGACAGACACTCAGGTGACGGGCTTGGACTCCTGGCGGATCGAACATCCGGACAGGTTACAGGTACAGGCCGCCACCTGTCGATCGTTTATGTGGCTTATAAGTCGGCTGATGCAGTTTTGTTGTGAAAGAAAAACACTATATCATGATTGATAAGCATGGCTGATACGATCAAGCGAACATGGTGTAGCTAGCACCATTGCGGACGCCATTAGGCAGCTAAATTTCTATTGGATTTTGTCCCGGCCCCATCATCATCGACCGATCCACTTGCTCATTGGTCACAGAAAGAAAGAAAACGACGCGCAGGGGTTCCCCGTCGTCCTACAGTGGTGGATTCCCTACCTCGGCCTAGGATTGGCTGATGCAGATCCACTAAAGCAGTCTCAATACTAATTTCGCTTCTCAGTTTTTAACACACTCATATTTTGAAAATGGTGCAGAAGTTTCGTCCTCATGAAACTAATGTCAGTGTATTTAATGCAAATCTCCAGTTTCGGCGTCGTCTCCCTGACAGACACGCCGGAGATCCTCTGCTCCTTAACCTCGTCTCTTGCTTGCCTTACAACGGAAAAAAAAAGGAACCAGGGGCAGGGGGTGAGATTCCAGGTTTGTGAAACGGACTGACACTGCATCTCGTGCGTGGAAAAATCTACCTCTTCTTTTTGCAGCTTCTTCTCCTGCTGCTGCTATGTGCACACTGAATTTATGATGCGAAGATTTTTCCTGGAGCAACTTGCAGAGCGCCATCATCTTCGGTTCGGTTGTCTTTAGAATGCTGCTCTACAACTTGACAACTTTCATAAAGTTTCTTCGGTTCATACCAGAAAAGAAAGAAACGAATACAGAGAGCATCAAGATTTTTTTTTGGCTTTAGTAGAAAGCTAAAATCTTGTCTGAATTGTTCAGTAACTAATTGTGCAAATGTGGAAACATAACATGGTACCTATGCCTCATCTTCGTCGTTGATTAATTGGAAGAGACCTTTAATAACAGGTTTGCGTTTTGCGTACAGATTGGTACATATTCGGCTCCAAAATGGCACCACAATATCTTATACAACTAGCTAGCCTAGTACATTTGGGCCAACACAAAAGAGAAAGGAAGGAAGAAGAGGAGGTGAACCATGCAAAAATGATGTATCTATATGCAACACAAAAGCCCTAGGACAAAGTGCAAATTCTCATGCCACAAAAAAAATTGTATAATCAGGTAATCACAAAAAAAAAACAGAAATTCAGGTGAATGCATAATCGGTAATCACAAAAAAAAAAAAAAAAGAAATTCAGGTGAATGCATCTTGGACCATGTAGAAATGTCATCGCGAGTAACGCATTGTCCTTTATGAAAAATGCTTAAGTCAAAGATTTTTTTTGTTGAATAAAATAGCTATCATGACATACACATGCATGCTGTGGAAATTGGAACAGTGTGAGCCATAAACAGCATGTTTGAAAGCCAACAACACATGCTTCTGCTTTCTAGAATAACAGTCATAAGTAATATACATAGTCCTGTCAGGTACCTGTATGTGACGGTACACCTCCTGTTGAGTACGTGTTAGAAAAATAGCCATGGTTACCACACATCCATCCAGTCCACTTGACGAACGAACAAGACGGTACTTGGGGCCCAAGGTGCTATTGTGCAAGCACAAATGGCATCATTGTCATCGTGGACATTAAATAAATAAATCAATCACAAGAGATTATCCAAAACGCATGGAGTTCATGCATGTCCATGGCAAGGAAAAAGATACAAGCCGAAGAAAAGAGTCCACTCTCCTATTATTATTTTTGGAAAAGAAAGGTAAGATGAAACAGGCGCCTTCGTCATTAAGCACTACGGTCCTTGTCAGTCGTCATCCCGGGTGGCCATCTTCCACAAGCTACAGTGTCCCTATCGGACGGCCTGTATTGCTCGGCGCGCGTGGGAATCCCTTTTCCACTTCTTTTTCTCTGCCTTCCCGTTCTGTTTTATTCTTTTTTCTGGAACAAACCTCTGCAAAATCCTCATATTATAAAACGGACCCTGCTCCAATATACTCACATTACTTGCATTATTCACGGGCGTTAGAGATACACATACACCTCGAGATATAAATCGCTACTCCTATATATATATCCAGAGTCGTAGTAATAAATTGCAGAAATCACATTCGTTCGCGAATAATGAGTCTATTGTATTTTTTTAGACAATGGAACAAGGTTCAACCTCTACCGGTGGTCTGTTCGTTTGAACTTATCAGCCGGCTTATCAGCTAGAATCTACAGTATTTTTCTATCACAACAAAACAGCTTCAGCCGGCTTATCAGCCAACTTTAATATCAGCCGAACAGGCCCTTGTCCATGCATTTCCTAAACGCACCGGGCCAAACAAATCCACCAGAGTGGAGGATCAAACACTTTACTCAGATGTTCACAAACTTTACAGGCCAAAGACATTCAAGAATTCTCGGGATACAAAGAACTCAAAATCAGACGGCTGATGTGCTAGGTAGGCAAGCTTTTCTAGAATCTCAGCCTACATCTTCCAGCTTGGTTTGTAGTTGCACAAATATTGCTCATGTAATCCAGTGCCCGATTCAAGAGCCCCTTCTATCAGTAGCCTTAAACTCTGTAAGGCTTCCATCAGCTGCTTGCTGTTGAAATAAAGTTGTTTCTTGCCAAAAAAAAAAACAATTTGATTTGTCCCATCAGTCTGGGCCCTGGCCGCTGGCCGGGGAATGATAATTTCATTTATGACGAAACGAAAAGGAATCAGGTGGAGAATTCAGCAATTACGTCAAAGGATGGGCGTGGGGCTGGGAAGAAAGAGATTTCTTTTTGGGAGCCTTTGTCCCGTCTGCTTTGTTGAAAAAAAAATCAAAACACTGTTCTATCTGATTTATTGTGAGAGAAAAATACTAAGTAAAAAAAATATAGATTATATAAGACAAGGACCTCTTTAGCTATCGCAGGAAAGAGGCGTCGACACGTCTCCTACGCAAACCAAACCGCCTTACATCGGCGGCCACCGTTCCATGACTTCCATCCACCCACATTTTTCTTCCTCTCGATCGCCGCCCTGTGTCAAGGAAAAAGAGAGAGGGAGGAGATATTCTATTTATATATATATATATATATATATATAATAATTTTCGCTTTCGCTGCTGCGATATATACTTTGAGACGAGACGACGACACCGCCGAGAATTCTTGGATTTCCAGAAGCCCTGAATCGGCGAATCATCCCCTCCTCATCTCTCCCCGTCCAGCCGTCGTCCTCCTCTCCTCCCTTATCGACGATCCGGACCAGTCGCTGAATTCTTCTTCGTTCCCCTCCTCTCCTCTCCGCCGTCGCCGTCGTACCCGGCCTGTGAAGCAGGTAACGATTGATATGATAGGATAGATAATCCGTTGATACTGTTATTAACCGCCCGGGCTGGGCCGGGGGCCCTCTCTTCTCCTTTCCATCACATCGTGGAAGGTTTATCTCGATCGATCCATCAGCTTCCTGCATTCATCTTCCCTGGCCGGGTTGCTTCTTCCCTTTCCTTGTTGAAAGATGCCTTTTGCAATCTGTTCTGCAGGACGGGGTTGAGTTGCACGAGCTCAAGTCAAGGATGATATATAGAGAGGAGAGACGTACATCAGTTGTAGCTCTGGAGGAACCTATACCAATGGTAAAGTAAAATTCTCTTCATTTTTTGCAATTGATGCTTGTTGATTTGCAAGATGCTTTTTTGCATGCGTATAGGTGTAGATCGACGAGATTGATGAGCTGCTGATCACCATCAGTATACATAGGTGTAGCTTAATTTTACACATGTAGTAGTAGTATTATGCGTATATAGAGAGAGAGAGAGAACGAACTTGCATTTGATTTGGAGGAGACGACGTCAGACGACGACGACGACGACGGCGATGGTGTGTGATTGATGGATTAGTGGTGGTGGTGGTGCAGGTGATGGTGAGCGTGGCGAGCCCGAGCCCGATGGTGCGGTCGGAGGAGGACCTGGGCCCGCCGTGGCTGCGGCCGCTGCTGGGCACGAGCTTCTTTGTGCCGTGCCGGCTGCACCCGGAGCTTTGCAAGAACGAGTGCAACCTCTTCTGCCTCGGCTGCACCGGCGACGCCCTCTGCGCCTACTGCCTATCGGCGCACCGCGACCACCACGTCGTCCAGGTCAGTCAGCTAGCTACTCTACTAGAGATATATGGTGGTGCACTTCTCCTTCGTCGCCGCCGCCGCCGTTGACATACACGAACACATCATGATTCATGACATATATATGAAATATGGGCATGCAGATCCGGCGTTCGTCGTACCACAACGTGATCCGGGTGTCGGAGGTGGGGAAGCTGATCGACATCTCGCACGTGCAGACGTACGTGATCAACAGCGCCAAGATCGTGTTCCTCAACGGCCGCCCGCAGACCAGGCCCGGCAAGGGCGTCACCAACACCTGCGAGATCTGCTGCCGGAGCCTCCCGGACTCCTTCCGATTCTGCTCCCTCGGATGCAAGGTACGGTGCAAATTCAATTCATTCTGTCGTCTTCCTCCTCGCTACCTTCTCCTTCTCTCCGTTCTTTCTTTTTTGTTCGTCTCTCTCTCTCTCAAAGGCTGTAGTACGAGTAGCGGGCTAGCGGCATTTTTGTCCGAGGCTCGGTATGGACCAGCGCCACCAGGGGATCGGACGGCACCCCACCGCACAGCAACGGCAGCTCGTGCGCGTCCTACCACAACCTGGAGGCATCGGAAAGCAGACGAATCCTACCGCGGAAGCGGAAAGGGATTGGAGGCAGCGGACTGGGGTCTATGTTGCGGTTGTTGCCAAGCATCAAGCTCTTGACACCCTCCAAATTTTTAAGCATTGTACGTTGGCCTATGGCCTCGATCTACCTCGGTTAACCACCGATGGCTACCTGCATATATTGGCCGCCGCCGGCCTTGAAAGGGAAGAACCTGGAACCGTCACTCAAGACCGAATGCCGTGGCACATTTTAGTTGGACTTGGACCATGCGAATTCGCTGCAAAATTGAGCACAAGAGTTATCGTTTACTAAAACACAAGGATTCACTGATGAAAAATAATGAAGATAGCTAATCAAACACACGCACTTATTAATATATTCCACAGCAACGCATCAGGTCCTAATTAAGAAAACATATTCTAAAGCATGCCCCTCCTCGTGGATAGTGGCTATTTTGATACTACATTAATTTGTGCTGGGGAAGATACAACCGGTATCTTTCTCATAGCGTAACCATATAGCCTTATTAGGAACTAATAAAGACACTCGATCGAGGCGGCCTAACACTTGTTCGTGGTCCCTCGAGAAAAGGTAGCAGTTGATGTGATCACATTTTGGCTCCATATATCTGCATTCTCGAATTGTTTTGCCTTGAAAATTCTTGGTTTCCAAAAGGTTATTTTGTTCCTCACCATGTCATGTTCACGGATACAGTATATGGGGAAAACTTGCTCGGTGAGTTTCTTCTTATTTTCTGTGGCATTCTACGGATATGTCTCAATTATTGCCCTTTGAACTTTGGGTGGGGTGCGTTGGTACGTGTGCTGCCGTTAAATGCAGCCAAATTGAATGGGTCCAGATATCTCCCATTATAGCCTATTTCTGTCAAGTTATCATGTTGTTTTTCTCTCACAACAAAAGAGCATCAGCCGGCTTATAAGCCACAGAAACGATCAAACGAACAGGATGATACACCTAGCCTATGTAGCCCCCAAAGCAAGATTTTTTTTAAGGTTCCAAACACCTAGCCTATAGCGAGGCTAGAATTTTTCACATTGCATTTGCTAGAATGTTTGAGCCAAAACGCTTGAGTTGATAAGAAAATGTGGGAAATTAACTTATACTTCAACACATGCACAAACTATATTAGGCCTCAAACATGGAAATTGGAGTTGGCTGTAATATTTTATTCAATCGCGTCTACCAAGATTCAGACTCGAGACTTCGGGCCCTAAATATTGGGAGTTCAACCCAAAAGCTTCTTACAGGGAAAGCTTAGACAAACACAATGGAGCTCAAATCACAATCACACAAAAAAATGATTAACCATAGCATCTCACCCAAATGCGGCAAGTAAGAAACTAATCCGGCCTCGATAATTTAAGCTATATATGTCTGTCTAACTGTTGCACTAGGCACTATCTATAAAGTTTCCCTAGGAGTTGAAGATCTCACTGTTCTAGTTTAGGATAAAGCTGCTTTCAGGGGGAGTAGGTAGACTTGATACATCATATGCTTAGGATCTTCCTATCGCGAATGCACTTCTTTTTCGTTTTCTTTTTTCAGCAGACCGAATCATCCAGTTAACCTTCTATCACTTAGAAAGGATAGAAAGAGTGTGTGCGTTATCTGCATAAAGTTGACTTCCCTGGCAGTGATGTTCTACTGAATCACCTTCTTGTTTGCTTGTCGGGATTGGGTATATATATTGAGCTATCAGGTATGGTTATGTTGATCGTCCTTGCAAATTTTAATGGGATCAAACAAAGAGAAAATGACGATCCTTTAGTTTCAGATATTGTTCATTTATGCTATGCCTATTCAGTGTGGTTTAGGCTGATGGTCATGATTAATTAGCCAATTAGGTCATGGAATACCTAATTATTTCCTATATATAACACTTGAGATGCTTTAACTCTCCAAGAAAGTTAGAATAACTTATAATTTGGAATGAAGGGAGTAGTAAGGGGTAATGTCCAATTGTCGATCTCATGATCTCATCAGTGCGTGAAGCCATGTGTAAAAACATGCGCAGCAATACACCTATTGAAGGAGGTCATCTAACTAATAAGTAAATATGCAGTTCAGTTTGCAAGCTTTAGAAAGATTATATGAAGGCTAATCAACGTCAGTTGGAGTGTTGGACAAGGAGTTGCATATAATATTGCTGTGCTCCCTGTTCGCACTTAGTGCAATGACGACAAATCCACGGGGATAATAATAACACGCTTCATCATGGAGGGTTTCCTTTTCTTTCTCCTTTTCACACGTCAGCTCACTTCACCGATTCCTTGGACAGCAACTCTTGTGGCCATGGAAATTTCATTCTCATTTCTTCTTCTTTGTGCTGCACTATGATAAACCAGTTATATATATTCATTCCCTCATCGATGGATGGACGTGTGATTAATTTGTATAATTTACAGCTGGGAGGGATGCAGTGGGACCCGAGCCTGACGTTCGCCATACGGCCGAAGCGCGGGCAGGGCTCCGGCGACGACGGGTCCGGCTCCGACGACTCGTTCAGCCCCAAGAAGCCCCGGCGGATGGCCGGGTTCGACTTCGGCCGCTTCGAGCGGCCGGGCATCCGGTGGTCCGACGACGAGGGTAGCAGGTCCAACAACGGGCCGTTCACGCCCGGAACGCCGCCGATCAACCGGTGCAGGCCGTCCAGGAGGAAGGGCATCCCCCACCGCTCCCCGTTCTACGGTTAGCTAGTCTATAGCTACTACAGTGCATGCAATGCAACACACAAGTCATCGATCAACCTTTAAAATAAACTCGATCTTCACCAGCACGATGCTGTGTGCCACTCATCAGCTGGTGTGAGCAGTGAATCAAGTGATCCAAAATCTGCTACTGGTAGTAGGTCACCATATATAGCTAGGTATATATATGTTTAGCTATAGCCTGTTACATATAGCTGTATACATGCATCCACAATAATGTAGGCGAAAGATATCTGTACATGCCACCAGTATATTGACAAAGGTTGTCAGTATGTGTAGACATGATCTGAAAGGAGATAGAAACATAGGTAGGGTTTGGACTTTATTAGGTTGGCTAGTAGTAGTAGTAGTCGAGATTGATATGTGAAAAGGAACAAGCTAGCATCATGTATTTATCTCGGTGTTTGTAGTATTTGGCTGCTTGCCTGCACCACCCAATGCGTTTATTAGCGTTGTGGTGCGAAGCTAAACGTTTTTGCGTTAATCTCCTCCTTATAGGAGCTTAATCTGTACATGTACAGACAGTGTATGTATGTATATGCCTGTGTACTAGCAGAAATTAATAAAGAAAGAAAAGGGGAAGAAATACCTTGTGGTGTGTATGTAACCTGCGATCTGCAAGAAAATGTCTGTAAATCTATATGACTGACAAAATGCTAGTATTTTCTTGAGTTGAGCTCTGATTTTCTTTTGGCACGATCAAATCGGCCGTACGTGCCTCTGTTAGGTATGTATTCTGGCTTTGAGCATCACCATCGTCCAGTACTCTATGTCACATCCCTGGAGTCGATGCCGAACAGGAAGAAAACGATGCTAGAGGCCTAGACCATTGACAATGCGAGTCTGAAGTATGAACAGCGCTGCCTGTGTCACTGTCATTTCTTTTTTGGCGTTGGTTTCCACGTTCATTTCGCTGAAAAGCCAGGCTACCAAGTTCTGTTAACTGATTTATTGTGAGAGAAAAACACTATCCATGATTGGCCCTCCCAGACTCCCATCACGCTATGCTACTGCTCTCACACACAAGAAACAGGTGAGTGGCAGCTACTGCTCTGTCACACAAAATACAGGTGAATGGCAGTAAGCTGCAAGACCTTGTGTATGGCAGACGGAAATAGTGTGGCATAGTGCCATTTTTTTAACTGCCTCGACCTTCGTACCAACACATACTACACGCACGCTACCCACTCACTCACAATCTTAGTGCGCAAGCTAGACCTATATCCTATACCTAGTCTATGAAACACGACTGAGAGATCAGTTATAGCATATCCGTACCGAGGCAACGAAAATTATCGTTCCCGGGTGAGACACCCTAGTCGAAGCAGACTTCAAACGCGGGCGGGCAGGACGCACACCAGCGATCATGCATTTGGGTGCGAAGAAGGGTAGCGTTCTGCTTCCATCAGGAAAGTTACCCGGCCAGAATATTCTAGTTGGCCCATCCTCCAGTCTCCAGAGATGGCAGGCCATTGCGAGGCCCAGCTGCATTCGGCGACAAACACAAAACCGTACGAAATGTCAGGGTGATGGGGACAAAGAGCGTGTTTGGCTGGTAGATTTTGGATAGTTTCGAATGATTCAACAGTGTTCTGTGAGAGAAAATAAATTAAAATAAGTTGAAACAATCCATAAGGTGTGACCAGCCGAACAGGCTGAAAACTTGCTCCACACAATTCTTGCGATGTACGGAGCACCCCGTTCACATAGCAGTCTCAGTTGAAGGACGAATTTAAGAGAAATTTGGATTGTTTGGGTTACTGTAGCACTTTTGTTTTTATTTAGCAATTAGTGTTCAATTATGGACTAAGTAGATTCAAAACGTTCGTCTCGCAATTTCCAATCAAACTGTGCAATTAATATTTTTTTCGTCTACATTTAATGCTCCATGCATGTATCGTAAGATTCGATGTGATGGGTACCGTAGCACTTTTTGAAAATTTAGGGTGGGAACTAAACGCGCGCTTATTTCGTATTCTATCTACGTGCAGAAACAATTCATTTACTTTTAATAAATCCCCCCCGTCTAATATGGCGTGTCACGTTCTAGAATCCATGCTGCGTACAATTGTTAGTTTGATTTGAAACCAAGAAAGAAAATTGTGGCCCTCCCAGAGTGCCTTGACAAGGGGTAGGGAAAAAGGCGCGCAACGCAACGCAAGCGGTTCCCGGGCGGGTCAGGCAGCCGCCGGAGCCGCTCGCGTCGCCGTCCCGGTGTTCCACCCACCAGCTTTTTCAGCAGCACGAGCGCGACAGCCTCAGAACTCAGAATGCGCGCGCGGGTGCCTGCCACCGGCGCGGCTCGCCGGGCGGCGGAAGCGTTTCTAGCAGCGGGCATTGGCCTGGGTGAGGATGGAACTGAACCGGGTTTACTAATCGCCGTAGCAACGGCGCGGTTCCGGCGGCGGCCACCGGGGAACCGACGGCGGAGGACGAGGGGAACTCTCTGCTACAGCCAAGTGCGCGGCTCCAAAAAAAAATACGAAAAATATACGTATGGTGGTGCACTTGCTGGACGGCGACTGGGCTTGTCTGTGTGTTTCGTCGATCTGTTCTCTAGCCTTCGTTGCGATGAAGCCGTGTGATTTTTTTTAGCAACATCAAGCCGTTCGATGGGACGTCACCATCAACTTGAGTTCTGTTCGTTCGAATAATAGTAGTACGTACTAACTGTTCTGACGGCGCGACACCTTGGGCCGGCGATCGCCTAGGGCCCAGGCCTGGAGGGGGACATCAGCCGATCTACACGGAGCCCATATATACCTTGCCACACAGCCCACGGGAGGGAAAACGATTGGTTTTCTCGAGTCTGGACTCTCTACTTCCAATGACGCCACGACGATTGGGGACCTGCGCATGCTAGATATTCCCTCCATCTAAAATAAATACCTTTCTAATATTTTCTAAACAGATTAAAGATGGTAGCAAAAGCAGCATGTATTCTTATCTTCTTTTCTTTCCTGAAGAATATCTTCTAGATTTGGTAGTAGTTATTATCATATGCAATGTACCCGTAATTAGCTCTCACATTATATAGACTAAGCTCCCCCTAAATGTATGCATACATATGGTAGAAGACAAAGCATATGCATAATTGGCAAATTTTTACTTAAGGGAATTTAATCTATAATGCATGAAGAAAGCATATAAATATCAAAATGAAATCAACATGATGATATCGGTTTAGAAATACCATATGTGGAAACCAATTTGATTTCTACCACTTGCAATAGGTGGTAGATATTTGAAGTATGATGCTTAACTCCGGGGAGTCCATTTTCCTTGCAATGAGACTACTACACACATGATAAGCTTGAAAATGTGTTAGTCTCATAGCATTCAACTTGTAGAGTAACCTCCCCCTAAATTTGTGCGCACAAATATGGAATACTTGTAGGAAACTTGCACATTGATTTTAGAATCAATAATACCACTTCAAAGATAACATCACATGAATGTAAGAATCATTTTCGAAGATGATATTCGGGAGAGATAATCTATAATTTGGACTTTGGCACATATTAGATGAACAATTGAAGGATAAGCCATGTGCCGTACTCCTAATTTTAAACCATGTAGGTTTGCTCCAAGAGTTAAGAATGAAACTGAGCAAGCCTACCATATGATATACCTAGTGTATGCATGACAAAAGATATAAGAATTCAAATGCAAATCTAGGCATAAAGAGTAACTAGATGCTAAAAGATACCAATTGTAGAAAAATTTAAATCTAATAACAATTGAAGTAAATTGAATCTAGTTACCTAACATGGGAAGGGGAATTTGGGTCCATAGTATTCACTAACCCACTTGGCAATGATTTTATCCATCATGATGCACCCCATCAAATGCATCCATACTTTGCCAAGTCTCCAAATTCCTCATCGTCCATAGGACTTCTCACTTCCCTTTCGAGATCCAAACATTTTTGGTGCTCTTCATATTGGAGATGATTTTCTTTGGCACCCAAAAGCGTTTGACCCCATTATTGGCTTGCTTGTTTACCTTAATGGCCACCACCTTGTCATTTTTCTTCTTCTTTAGCAAGTATGGTGTGAAGGTCTTTTTGTCCACCTTGTTGGTGTAGGTGTTGGAGAGCTTGCGTGTTTGCTTCTTCTCTTTCTTCTTTGCTCCTCCCCCATTCTTCACCTTGCACTCATAGGACTTGTGACCTTCTTTGTGGCACACGTAGCAAACCACGGTTTGTCCTTCATCAAGCTTCTTCGCTCCCTTGATGGTGTTATCTTGATTAAGTTGGGCTTGCTTCGTCTTGCCTTTCACTTGAGTCAAGTCTTTAGTGAGGCGAGCTACTTCTTGCTTGAGTTGCTCATTCTCCTTTGCAACCTCTTGTGTGTATGTATCTACAATAATTTTCTCAACACAAACTTGGTTGCACAAAGGTGAGTCTAAACATAAATCATTACAAGAAGTAGATGCATCATTTTTAGACATGTTAAAGATAGAACTTTTCCTTTTAGATGCCTTGATGGGAGTTGTATTAACGGCTTCAAGTTTAGCAACTTTATTAGTTAGCTCATCACAATATTTGCACATGGTTTCCATTTTTGCAAGCAAACTTTTATAAGCATCTTGTGAGCTAGCTAACTTTTCTTTTAATTTTGCATTTTTCTTTACAAGTTGCTCATCATTGATTGTGCATGCATTTGTTGTTGCACTAGCCTTAAGTTATTCAATTTTAGTAGATAGTTCAACATTGAGATTAGCAAAGTTCTCATATTGTTCAAGCAAAGTTTTATAAGCTTCTTGTGAACTATCTAGCTTTCGGCCGAAATGCCGCGGGCCTTGTTCCCTCCGGTACAGTGGCGGCCACACCATAAACGCGGTTGGTGTGATCTCGCAAGACTACAGCCCCTCTGATGTACAACAATGGTGCGCGCAAGCACCGAGTGGTAAGAGGTATGCAAACCTCACTAAACACTAGGGCTAAACCTAGAACAAGCGCATAAGCGGTGGTCTAATCAACC